TAAAAGGTTTTTTTAACATTTGATTAAACATTTTCTTTAAAAAAAAAAATGTATTTAAAAGAACCTTGAAATCAGTTCTGTGTTGCAGAGGTGCTGCTACAGGTGAGATGCTTTCTGTTTTTCTGGTGCTAGAATCTTGCAGATGAGATGGAGTTACAGTAATCCAGGCTTGAGGAACTTTAACAAGCAGGAAATAAATTCTAAGGGAACTGCTAAGTTGGTCACTTTTTTTTAGACAAAACAAAGGTGAAGAAATGAGTGAAATTCTGGCATTTTCTGTTGTAGCGATGTTGCCATGTTCACAAACCTCCAAAGTTCCAAAGTAAGTGAAAAAAATGTAAACATTTGCACCCATACGGCCCAAATCAAGCGTTTTTTAAACAGAGAAACTCAGGATTATTGCAGGATTACAAACACCGACTTGTGAAGCAACTGATGCAGGAAGTCCACGTGCCTCTGGGGGGAAAAAAAGGTTATTTCTTAGGGAGGAATCAAACTGTCAGTTCCTTTGGCAACACAGATAAAACACAAATGAAAGATAAAAGGCAGGTGATGTAATGCGTAGTGCGATTTTTATCAGTATCATTCCAAAAAAGCTAAAGGCTGAAAGATTTATCATGCAATATTTAAACGTTGCAGACAGCTGCATCTGGAATAATCCTGTAAGTTTGTGAGATTTCCACCTCACAAATAAGTCACGGCGAGTTCTTTTGCTTTCAAATGCAGCGTGACTCATTGTTGAAAATTTATCGCGCAACTATAACTCATCAGCTATCATCAATCAGGGATGTCATATTAGGATATAAAAGTTGGACGTAAAAGGTATCTCTGTCTTTGAGCGGGGTTTAGACGTGGACTGAGTTGGGTTTGAGCTCGCCGCACATCTGTTAGCGCCCGGCGGCTTGATGCTCGTGACCTCTGCCGGGTCCGGCGGCCTGTTTGTACCTCGATGAGCATCCAGGAGGGCAGAGAGGTCAGGCTTCATTATTCTAGCCCGCTCTCTGGAAAAACAAAATAAGAAAATATTTACACAAACAGGAAGCTCTCCTAATGATTGGAAACATGTTGGCTGCTCCTCCCCCCAGAATATCTGTGTCTTACCACGTGTGCACTGAATGGATGATATTTATGTCAGAAGAGAAAACCAGCATTCCAGGTCTGATTTCAGGAGGAGTTAAGCCTTCTTCTTCTTCTTCTTCTGACATTAAAGTCTGCACGGTGGAATGTTTCATCCCAAACTGAAAGCCCATTAATGTTGCAGAGTCTCGGCTTCCCCGCGGCCACGTTAGATCAACCATAATAAGTTGCGAGTTTATGGACCTTTGCTCCCCAAATGTCTACCATGTTGCTAATTGCGTACATCTGTGCCTGGTGTTTTTGATGTTTTGTCTCAAAGTGCAGCTGTCCGTTCCGTTTCCAACAGCCTCCGGTTAAAAGTGGCATGGCCCTCCGTTATCTGTGTCCAGCCCTTTAATAGCAGCCATGCACATGGGTTCTGTGATTCACCGGGACAACAAAGTCTGCACAGCGAGGCTTGAACGTCAAAAACCCACTAGGAAAATCTGAAGCTGTTCGCTGGTTTTATTTAGACTCTAATATCTAGCAGACACTTCTATGTTTGTGCAGGTTTGGCACAAGTAAGCAGTGTCTTAAAAACAAATAATTTAAAGTATCAAGGTAAGTTCTATCATGTGTTTAAAAAAAACTGTGCTTGGTCCTGAAATCACGGCACAGACGCTAAATATGCATTCACAAGTGAACAAAACATTAAAAAATAAGATAAATGTGAGAGTTTGTCGAACTGGAAACACAACTTGAAGCACAGATACAGTTGCACTACACAAAACATCAATCTTCAAGTCATTTTTATTCATTATTGGGTCGTAAAAGCCAACTACAAGAGTCAATAACCAGTTTCTAGTCATTCATCCAGCTACGAAATTCTAAAAAATATCTGCACATACCGATCTACAGAAAGAAAGAGATGGAGAGATCGTGTCCACACATTTCTCTTCATCTAATGTATGTATCGACTTTTTTTTATCAGTGAAAGATATGCGGATGTCTGTCTATCTGCACAAAAACAGACACAAACAGCATCCATCTACATGAAAAGTATTAAAATAGTTGCATTTAAACTGACTTTTCTACCTCTCGTGGTGTACTTTTCATTTTGTCGGATTTGTACAAGAACAGTAAGTCCTAGAAACAAACTCTGAGTGTTCATTTGTAGTAGAAATGTGTGTTTTACTTGTATGAAAACAGGATTAATCTCATTCTAATATGTTTAGTCAAGAAAATCCTGTTAGGTTGTACCGAGATCTTTCAATATCTAAACAATGTGTTTTTGTTGCGATGCTAAAAACTGAATGATCTACAACAATGTATGTAACAGTTAGAAAATGGTTAAAAATGACTATAAGTGAGATATTTTTTCACTTGTTTTGTAAAGACACAGACTTGAGAAGAGTTTCTTTACGATATATTGTAAGATGATATCACTCTTCACTCGTAGACCAACGACCTCAACCTGAGACGTTGCTGCCATTAACTTTAAAAGGTTAACAGGATCCCAACCATCCACGCATCTCAAGTCTGCCTGATTCTTTTTGCCTTTATTTGGTGTTTTGTTTCTCCTCGTTTGACATTTAGGCCAACGTTAGCCCACGTGCTCATTTCCTACGCACCGTTTTGTTGAATTCAGTCCTACAAATTGACATTTTCTCTTTCCGTCTGAAGCTGTTTTTGTTTGTAAGTCTCCCTGGAAAACAGATTTGAAATCCCAAAGTGGATTTCAAACAGTTTATTTAACCGCACTCTCGAGAAAGTTTTGCGACGAGCTTCTTCAAGTTTGTTTATATGCGATAGCGGCGGCTTTTTTTCCCTGCTGCACGGTGTCCTGCAGGGCCATCAGAGGACAGATCAGCAGCAGTGTGTGCTGTGTGTTCGCCACTGAAACCTGATCTTGAGTAATTGTCAGGATAAGGCGAGGGATTGACCTCTGCCATGAACCATATTTTCTGAAACAACACACACTTGAGCTGGCTTTGAAATAGCCTCTGCTCCAGCACCGGAGTGGCCCGCGAGGAAGCCAGTCATCAAGTTTTCAGTGTAACTAAACAAAGCCTGTGGTAATTTCATTCGCTCACTCTTACACCCTCAGATAGCCGGTGCCATCTGCTCTCCCAGCCTCCGTCCCTCTGCTGGCCATGACATCACACGCCAGCAATGCGAGGCATGAGTTCATCTGGACATGCAGGATGTTCCCCACTAACTCGTAAAGCGGGGCCTTGTTTTGCACTGGAGCCCTGTTTCTCATTCCCATTTAATAGAATCAGCTCTTCCCCCTTCTATTCATCGATTAAAGCATTTAATAAATCAATTCTATGGTTGTCTCTTCATTGTTGGGCCTCAAAGCAAATGTGGTCATTGTTGCTGTACAGAAGAATCCAAGCCCCTTGTGTTCGGATTCGTGGAAAATGTTACACACTCGTGTTGTACTCCAACTCCAAGCACACATCTCTGCCTCCACAGTCTCTACATCCCCCTCAACAACAACGTCCAGACTCGCTGTTTGTGTCTGCCGTGTTGTGACAGCTCGGATCCTGCAGCGTTCAGCACACATTCCTTTCATCCCAGATCCCCCAGGGGTCGGCCCCACCTCTGCCAATCGCTGCCCCGTTGTGAGGGAATCAGACAGATGCACGATCCGGCAGATGGTCGGCAAGTCCACGGTCAAATGACATCCACGTCCCCGCAACTGGTGTCTCAACGGGCAGCCGCCAATGATTCCCATCAGAAATTCTGCATCGCTCCGGCCTTAAAAAGTTTAGGAATCTGGTTTGGAGAAAACTATGTCAACTTGTGTGCCTTCAGTGTGCTGCCGCAGGGTAATTGAATTTGGATCAAAGACATTCATGTCTTTCAAAAAGGTCTAGAGGGCTGCTCAGTTTTTAGTAATAACAGAAACGCTTCCGGCGTTGACCTCCGCTGCCCCCTTTCTACCTTTCTCTCCCCCTCTCTGCCCTCGGACTGAAATCCCTGCTTTGAAGGGCTCAGCCTGTTGCAGTCACTTAGTCTGACGGAGAGACAGAAAGAGGGAGAGAGAAAGATGTTTTTGGGGGGGATTTCTTAACCTGTAACCAGTTTATCCTGCACACCAGGAGAATACAACTTCTTAAAATCAAATAGGTGGAACTGACAATACATAAACTCTCAGTATGATAATGAACAAGATCATCAGTTATCTAATAATAGATTTTTCTCTTTAAATACAAGACGATTGATTGTTAAATGAAACTGAGTTGCTCTAAAAACTTTATATTCAACTGAATTTAATGACACACCTAGTGGTTTACTGTTCAGGTGTTAAATTTATGTTTTCATGAAGACTTTCTCCATACAAAGCTAAATGCAGGGAAAAGGTCCAGTCAAAGCAGAGAGAGACATATATATATATATATATATGTACATATGGTTTGATAGTATAATTATTTTAAATGGTGCTGTGTGACGTTTCTGTTCACTGTAATAACTGGTGAAAGTCTGCCCCCTTGTGTTTGAAATAGTCCTTACATTCAAAAGTTGCTCTTGGCTGCCAAATCAAGCTTTTCACCCTGTTAACGTGTTCAAATGGTGTTTTTTAAAATACGCTAGAAGACATTTAATCTTCAAAATAAGCAGTTAACATCATAGCTGAGCCTTTCCACCAAGAAAATGCAGCGTAGCAGATTTTATATGGATATTCGGTACCATTCTTCTTCTTTAGAACCGATTTCTGGTTTGTACTTATACAACTAAATCACTCCAATAATACAACTTGCTAGTTTTATGGTGTTTTAGCAGAGCTGTAAGAGAGCTGCTGTGCTCGAGCTGCAGCAAGCAGAATGATGTTGTCTAGAAAGAGGTGAGAACTTCATAGATCGACACATCTAAGTTACATCTATGGTGTTTTAAAGCACCGTAAGAACTTCTAAATATATGACTTTGATACACAGAGATGACTTTTTAGGGGTTTAATCAATGATTAAAGAGAGACTTTGACGTATTCTTTTGAAAAGAATGACGAAAGACTGATGTTCATTTCAAAATTCAGTTTAACAGCAAACTGAGCAGCAGTGCAGCAATTAAGTCAACTAATATAATAATTACATGAGTAATAAATACTTCAGTTTTTCCAGCAAATGATCAACATTTGAGAACACCTTCACAGATTAACGATCGACTACAGTATTTACTAGACACCAGCACAAAGCAGATGTGAGATAAGAATCACTTCCTCCTTCCAGATCTACGCAGGAGTCCGATAGTGGAGGTGAAGTGCAGCGCTGATCTCTCACACAGCGAATGTGGACCGTCCGTCTCTGTTTCTGCGTCCGCAGAGCAGACAGACGAGGATGCAGAGGTCGAGTTACTCCGTTCCTGTGACACTTCACTTGTGCATCCACTCTGCACATGTCTGGAAGTCTGCGGAGACTCTCGGGCTCCGTTAGCATGAGCGAGGGGCCCCGCGTGTCCCTCCTGATTTCCTTTTCCAAGTCCCTCCAGGTGGGCCTGGAAGGTGGAGGTCTGCTGCTCCAGAGAGATGAAGCTCTCCTGCACTTTGTCAAACTGCAAGGACGAGAGACATTTTCAGTAATGGTGGGTTTTTAAACCGATTTAAATCTGTTTGTCTACCGGACAGAGTTTAGTACCTGCTCAATGTTGGACTGAAGCAGAAGCTCCGGCCAGACGGACTCGCTGCTGCACTTCAGGCTGTTGCTGGTGTGTGTGTGGCTCCACGTTAACTCCTGTGGAACACAAACAAAGAGGATTCCTGAGTGAAGACAGCAGGAAATGATGAAGGCTGATTTTTTTTCTTGCATGAGGAGAACTTAACCTGCAGTCGTTGTGTGCTGTTGTTCAGATGAGCCTGGCAGGACTCAAGTCTGTTCCTGTGGTGAGTCAGGACTGCAAATAGAGTCTTTGACAAAGGAAAGGTGGTGTTAAAATACCAATCTGCACGATTCAGGGAGCTCAAACTAGGAGGACAACTGCTGTTAAAAACTAAAATACGCTGGAATAACTAAATATCTGACCCTACACTGTGAAGAGTTTGAATCATCCCACATGTTCTTACCTCTGCGTCTGTTTGTGCCGAGGCCACGTCCACCTGGTCTCGACTTCCCCGTTTGCTCAGCGTGACTCCAGCATGCAGCTCCTCCAGCTGGGCCCAGAGGCCATCCAGGCCCTGCAGCAAGTCCTTCACGCTGGCCTCGAAATCCTCCTGCACCTGGACCAGAGCTCGCAGGGACCCGGTCCTGTCAGAGAGGAGCGTTTGATGTCAATCCAACTGAGTTTCCAGGGAAGCAGAATACGTACACGGACTTAATGAGCCTCACCTCTGCCGCAGATAGCGGCACATGAGCTTCAGCTTGTCTGTCAGCATGGAGCCTCCGTCCACCTCCTCCAGCGTCACCTCTGATCCAACATCAGCCTTCTCTAGCGCGTGAGACACCGACTGCAGCGAGAAAGAGGGCCGAGTTCAGCGCTGCGGGTTTGTTTGGTTGGGAGCAGCAGACAGGGGAGACAAAACATTTAAATTCCTCTCGTCTGCCTGTCAGAGTTAATTCAGCGTGCGGATGACAGCAGCTCAGCGATGGTGTGTGCAGCCCGCGGCTAAAATATCTGCGCATCCCCGAGTGCAAGGTCTGATCTCGCTGATCAACATGCAAAGAGCGGCTGAAAACAAAGGCGATGACAAATATTGCCAGAGGCGGCTGTGTGTGGCAGACAGAGGGCAGTTTGCTCCTTTGAGGTGTTTTTTTTTCTCCGTCTTACCTCCAGTCTGGAGAGGAGAGCCTGGATGTGGGGCACGGAGGGGTTTGACAGGGGCTCCTGGAGGACGCACAGCAGCAGGCTGTCGGCCAGAGCGAGGGTCAGGGGAAGGTGGAGGCCTGGACTTCTTGTCGGGGGCAAACTGGAGAAACGAGGACAACACAATGAGCACGCATACTTGAAAAGATTGTGGGGGTTTTTGAGTACAATTCTTTGGTAAATTGGTATATTTATTTCCCAAATGACCTTAAAAAGTGTAACACATGTACTTTCTCAACAAAAGGGTGTATTTTATGTATGTAGATGACTAAATACTGTCATAAATCATACTGTTTATATACTGTATATATGCTCCATCTCATTTCCTATAGACTGTTAACAGTGTTCCTACTATTCATACTGCTCATACGACTATTTATCTCTACCTGTATATTTAGATTATCTATTCTGATATCGTATCCACATCTATATATTCATATCTTGGTGTTTTCATAGTGCTCTGTCCTTAGTGTTAATTCTGTTTATACTGTCAATAATGCACTTTATTGCTGTGTTTTGTTGTCTTAGTGCTCTGTGCAATAACAATAAAGTTGAATCTAATCTAACACATTAACTGCATTCGTCACATATACAAACATTTTCTAAAGCAGCAAAAAAATAAAACTGCAGGGAGAACTAAGATGCTATTAATCCCTTAATTGTCTAAATAAATAAACACATGATTGACACTAATTGAGAAACTAATTGCATCTGTCACATATACAAATATTCTCTTTTAGTGTCTTTAAGTGTGTTGAATTGGCATGTTAGATTCACCAGATTTGAAAATTCACATCTACAAAGGCTGTTCTGTGCTGTGCAGACTGGCTCATGCTATGAGGAAATAAACGCTGTAAAGTCCAGAAATGAAAACAAGGTAAAACCGTGAAAATAACAAAGCCTCACCGAGAACACTGGTTCCTCCAGTTTTCAGTCACAACCTCCTCCTCCTCCTCCTGCTGTGGCCTCTGTGGATTCTCCCCCTTGAATTCAAGCACAGTCTCTGAATAAACATGACACGATTAAACACAACAGCAGAGGAAGTGAGATCCGGTTCTTTGCGGCTCTGCTCACCTGCTCCTGTCCTGGCTGTAGGCGGCACTTCAGGGCATGGATGCAGCCTCCCAGGACGCCCCACAGCAGACACAGCAGCAGCAGAGCCCAGCAGGTGTCCAACAGTGACCCGGAGGGATGCAGCAGCGCCTCCAGCTGGCACACCAACAACACTGCACCCACCGGGGCCCAACTGTACCAGGGCCTCAGGGTCCTCAGGGTCTGGGACCACCAGGTGTGCTGGGCTTGACCTTCAGCTGGTGCTTGGTTTGAACTGGAGAGATTTGATTTAGTGATTTATATCAGACATGACACACGATTATAGAGGCAAAAAAGGAGAAAAGAAATCACACAAAATGCAAAAAGAAACCCCAAACCCTAAAATAGTGTTTAAAAATGAGCAGGATGAAGTTTAACTTATTTAATTCTACTTACTACATGTACGTACATCTCAAATCTTACTGTTTATTATTTGCCTCAAACCTTATTGTTAATAAATAATACATTAACATCGTCAAATCAATACAATTTTCGATATTATTCTTAAATGTAATGTGTTAGCTACTGGATCAACACCTTTACTGTTCTACATTATTATATTTTTTCCAAATTGTTTTTTTTTAAGTTGTTGTCTAGTTGCTTTATAGTTGTTAAAATTTTGAAATCTTCATCCAGGTTATTCCATAAATCTTCAGAGTGATAGGAGTAAATGGCTTTTTAAAATTTAGATTTACTTTTAATGTCCAATATTTCCCATATTTGCACATTCCTGAAGCTCACTAAATCAAACAAAAATGTCCAAGTATTTGTTTTGGAAAACAATATATTGACATGCTTGTTATATCCCACCACATCTACTTTCCTGATAGTAGTTTCCTGTAATATTTTTACTGGATATAATATTATATGTGCTACCCCACACTGATGTACAGTAGGTCGATACAGTATAAACTGAGCAGTATAACAAATACGAGGAATTCAGAATGTGTCTTGTCCTTCATAGGAAAGAGGCCGCTTTTGCCAAATTTGTTCTCATATATTTTATATGAGACTTCCAACTACAATCCAGTAACACACCTACAAATGTCTTTGTAGATACTCTTTCAAAGTTATAGTTATTGACATAGTTTTTGGATTATTATTTTTATATGTATTGATAGTTTATTCATGTCAAATTTACATTTTCGTCTGAGTTAAAAATATTTGTATTACACAAATCATGTATATACAATATAAACACTTGTGGTCCTAACACTGAGCCTTGTGGGACGCCACACGTAGCATTTAACAGACTTGAAACAGAGAGAAACAGCAAACAGAGAAGAACTGAAAGGAACTGTAGTAGTGGAAAACTGTCCTGCAGCCTCAAAACATGACTTAAGTTGACTCTGTTTATAGTTTTGTGAGAACTCTTTTAAACAAACTTACACTTTTACATGGCTGAAATATAAGACGCCATGTTTTTAACAGCATCACTGGACAGGAGATGGAAAGTTACAGATTTATTTTAACACTGGTGTCTTTGGAAATCAGAAGTTCTAAGTAAAGTTTGAGCTTTTAAACAATGATTTATCACACAACATGCTGTTATAATGAGCTGTTGTGTCCAGCACTCATTTGTAGTCTCTCCAGATCTCAGTTCAGGTAGACGTGACCCCCCCCCCCACTCACACATGCTGACATATTTGTGCCTAATGGAGCAGAAAAATATCTTACAACCATCATTACACACTGACTTCTCCTCCCCATAGCAGCAGATAATCAGAGAGCTGCCACTCAAAAGCAAAGACTAGCTGTTGAACGTCACAAATGTCTACTTACCCGTGTTCTGGGCTCCTCTCTGCAGGTTCTCCCTCCTTTTCCTCCTTCGCCTCCTCCATCCATTTACTGCCACAGTCCAGGCCTACCTTCCCTCCCGGCCCCGTAAGCCCCTGACTCTTGGGGTAGATGACAGTCAGCCGAGGCATGAGAGCAGCTCAGACATGCTGGTTGAAACTGCGGCCGAGCCATCGGGCGAACACAGTGCGCCTGTTCAATATGTGATTAAGTCCTGAAACGCATCAGGCTTGTTCGACTGGTTCCACTGGAAGACTTGTTTTATGTAGGCAGTGGCTCTTTCCTTTTCCCACATTCCGTCCATGCAGGAATGTGTAAAACATGCTGATGACAAATGTGCAGAGGACAAGCCCAGCTCCACCCAGGTGGACCAGCAACAGACACCTGAACAGGTCTGAACCACAAGCTATTAATAAATCAGGTGTTGCAATCTGTGCGGCCAGGAATGTGTTCTTACAAGAGAAGTTTACAAATGGGAGGGAGCCTGTTTTAAATCATTAACGGAACATAACTGAGGCTGGCTGTTCCAGCTGTAATGTTTAACACTCACAGGTTTGAGATGCTGAGGAACCAGTTTCTGCTGTCTGAGCTCGTGCTGCCATCTAGCACTTTGGAAATGAATAACAGTCAGACAAATCAAGACTCAGCTGACCTGAACGAGTGAACTGAGCTACACACCTTCATAGCAAAAAGAACAAAGGTCTTACATAGACAAACCCATGAAACTCATGAATAAACACAGACTGCATGACAAACCTTTTTCTTTTTAAAGACAGTGCCAGTCAACACGAGACTTTGAGTAAATACGTTCTGAAAGTGAAACTGAGCATAAACACATGTAACTGTGAGTTCCTTCATAACAACATAGAGTGACTTTGTGAATGAATTACTTCCCTCACTAAAAAAATCACTTTAAACTGATTATCTTTGGTCAGTTTACTGCATTTTGAAAATTCTCCCATTACCAAGATGAAATCATGTCATTTGAGGAGGCTTCTATAAAAAAAAAAGAATTTTCCACTTACCACTTAAAATGTGGAAACAGTAATCACCTTAGAGGGCATTTAAAGGATTGAAGTCCTAAAAAGGATTCATCTTTGGTCACTATGATTAGGACTGATTGTCATGACCCCCCAGCCCTTGCCTGTCTTCTCCCTCCTGTCTGCCTCTCCCTCTCTGCCCCTGTGCATCTTGGCTCTAATCAGGACAATCACCCTCAGCTGCAACTTCGGACTCACCTGCACACTATCACCACTGCTCCTATAAATACTCGGTTCATTCCACCACAAGCCACCGGATCATAGACATTACATTTGCATGTTTCTGCCAGTCTCCACTTCGCCTCTCCCTGGATTTCCCTGAGCCTGTCTGCCCCCTCTGTTTTCCCTCCTTAGTGAGTATTCCTGTTTGTGTGAGTTTTCCTGTTTTTTTGTAACTTAGAATCCGTTAGGTTTCCCCCTCCGTTCTTAGTTGGAGTTTTCTCTGGTTTTGTAGTTTTGTCCTTTTTTTTTAAAATTCTGTCTATTTGTTTCGTTCTGTTTCCCACTCTGTTTAGTCTGCACCCTTGTATTTAGTTTTCAGTTTTGTTTCTGCCTTATTAAAATCCTTTCGCACTGTACCTGCCTGTCAGCTTGATCTGTGTCTGCTCCTGGGTTCCCCGATTGCCCTTGGTTTTAAAACCCAAGCCCCTCCCACTGGGCGTACCCTTTACAGGTAAAAATACAAAAATTATACAAACATAATTTTCTACACAGTTTCCCCCCAGTTCACCCCTGTGATGGGAACCTCAGAATTCTCAGTCAGGGGACAGGGGTAGGGTTTCTCACCATAACCCATCGGCAATTCAAAGAATACTGTTCACAGGGAAAATAATAAAAAGTTGCGCATCATGTGACCAGCAACTGCGCGGGCCCATACCATCTTAAGCCGGCTGATGGTATGGCCCGGGTTTTCCCGCCAAGCATTCCAGCCAGCTGCCTACCACTGCAACGGACGGTGATGGTGTGTGTGAGTGTATGTGTGCGTGTATGGATGAGAGAGAGAAAGCATCGCTGCAAGTGTGCACCCTTGGTCACGACACTTAACAGCAGGAAGTGAAATGGAATGAGGTGTGAGTGCAGGTTATTGCAAAGTTTGTACATGGGTGTGCGTATGTGTGTGAAGACTTTCCAGGAAGAGGCGTGACTCCCGGCAACGCCAGACCTCGCCGCTCCCCAGCGCCCAGACCTCGCCGCCGCCGAGCGTCGCAGAGGTCCCGCCGCGTCCGTCACACCGGTCCTGTGTGTGGCCATTTCTGGGCGGGTCGACACCGCCACCGAGCCGGTTGCGGTTCCTGGGCGGGTCGACACCGCCACCGAGCCGATTCCTGTTCCTGGGCGGGTCGACGCCGCCACCGAGCCTGTTCCTGTTCCTGGGCGGGTCCACGCCGCCTCCGATCCTGTCTGTGTCTCCGAGCGGGTCGACGCCGTCTCACCTGATCATGTTCCGGAGCGGGTCAACGCCGTCTCACCTGATCCTGTTCCCGAGCGGTTCGACACCGTCTCAACCGCCTCGAGAAGTTGGGACCTGCCTGACCCAAATCAAGATCTTCCTGGCCAGCAGACTGCCCCAGCTTATCATGCTTCTGAGCCCCAGCCTACATTGACATCCCTTGCTCCAGAGGGGCTCCATCGTCGCCGGCTCCGGTCCGGCCCGAGTCCGGCCCCCAAAGTGGCTCAGCCTTCGCCGTCTCCAGTCCGGCACCCACAGTGCCTCTGCCGTCGCCGGCTCCAGTCCGGCCCGAGTGCCGCCCCCAGGTGGGCTCCGCCGTCGCAGGCCCGAGTCCGGCACACAGAGTAGCTCCGCCGTCGCCTTCTCCAGTCCGGCCCGAGTGCGGCCCCCACAGTGGCTCAGCCGTCGCCGGCTCCAGTCCTTCGCCGGTTGTCT